TTCGGAGTTTGGCACTATGCTAGACTTTCTGTTTATTGTTGGGAAAAAGCTAAAGAAACATTATTTTTGCAGTACTCCCTATCCCAAAGTGCTCAATAGTCGGCAGACATCCAAGACTCACCACAGCCAGAGGCTGGAAAGCACTTCTTAGAAACAAACAAATGAACAAGCAAACAAACAACAGGCAAAGCCAAACGGGGAAAACAACACAGAGAGACCCCAGCTCCAGGAGTCGCAAAGGATTTCTGCGAAGGAACAGAAACTGGTTCTATCAATGCCACTTTTCCTCCGCTATAGCATCTCTTGATGGCTGGGAGATGTCTGGTATCGTGTTCTCAAGACAAAGACATGGAATGTTCTTTCTCTCAGGAACATTAAAATATAAACCTCAAGACTATGCTAGCAGTAGAATTGCATTATAAATCATGGTTTTTAAAGAGATGCATAATGGTATTTTTAAAGTTCTAGCCACAGAAAAGACCCTTTAATGTTACCCTTTAATTATTAGCATGGGTTAAAATGACAAGCTCTCAGAGAAAGATGTTTTTCCACTGAAATAATAGGTTATCAATGGTTTTCAGACACCGAGATGCATTTAAGACTTTCCCAGTCTCAACCCAATCTCGCCATAATTATTGAGCCTTCAGTGAACCCAGGAAAGATCATGCTTACATCAAATTTGGCCTGATTTGTCTTACAGGTATCTTTTTCCTTCTAAATACCAGTTCCTGACCGTAGACAGCTCTATACAGATACTTCCCTTAATATTTACCTGCTTTTTAATTTCCCACATTCTGATGAAAAGTAAAATTCATGCTGGATCTTTCAATAAGATTTTAAAACAGGATTTTTAAGAAAAGCAGCAGCAACTAGAAGTGAAAAACATGGTACCTGACGATGGTAACACTCCTCACATTCTTTACATGGTTTGCTGTAAAAAAAACACCCAAGAGATGCACAGCTGACATCCAAAGGAAGCCACAATTTCTTCGCAAAAGGAAGTTCTGTGGAGATAACAGCAGTTACAGACCGTTGCTCGGGGCGGGATTTCACAGGCCTGGCTTTAGGAGGGGATCTGAGCTCTCCGCCAGAGACCCGAGAGGGAGCCGCGCTGGCAGAGGGCAACGCAGTTTTCCCCACCAGCTACTGGGAGTCTCGGCAAACGGCACAGGCCAAAACCCAGCTTCCAGACAACTGGTGAGATGGGCCCTACCCTTCTTCAAATGAGAATGCCCATGTGGCAGAGGTGTACAAGAGCTGGCCAGAAGGAGAGATGGCTGGGGGAGAGGGAGAGAGACTGATGAGAAGGAAAAGAAATCCATTAAAAGAGCTAAAATAACTAAAAAAACCAAAAAGGCCCTTGTCCTCAGAAGAGCACAGTAATTAACAAATAGGTTTTAATCCGCAAAGATGTAACTTTTGGCTTGCTGCTCGTTGGGGCTGTAAACTGTGTTTATCTGTATTTCATCTCGATGGGGTTTGTGCTCTGGAAACTCCCAATTATGCTGAAGAAGAGGCACTGAAGGGCGGTTCAGATCCCTTGATTTCAGCTGGGGCTCACCCGCGCCAGAAGGCTCTTCCGTGCAGCGGCTCGGGGTGTCCACCGACATCCCCGAGAAGGGAATGCGGCCCGTTAGTCATGAGGCAGTTCTGTCCCGACCAGCGAAATGACTGCGGATGCGCATGTGAACAGAACGCAGCCTACCAGCCTCGTGCAGTACGGCCTCATTACTCTGGGGCTCTACGAAGTCTGACAAGCTCTGGAAAAGCTGGTCTGACTCAAAAATCGGTGCAGAAATCTGGGCGCTTTTTAAAGCAGTTTTAAGGAAAAGAACATACACTGCACCTTTCTCAAGCACGTATTTCTTACAAAATCAGATTGTGATTTTAAAAAATCTTTTAAAAGCAGCTAAAAAACCAATTAAAACACCCACGCAGGCAAAATTCCTGCCAAAGATGTTTTACTCTCGAGTGTGGGGGCAAATAAAAACACAACAGTAAGTCCTGAGAAGAACTTGAGAAAGCTCGGGGCAAGAGCAGCCTTTGGGCAATGCTCAAGGCTGCGGAGGCAGGTGAAGCAGCAGCCAAGTCACCCTCCAGCTCCGGGTGATTCCTGCACCAGCCACCAGAAAGCAGGCTGGGGGGCAAAGGCGCTGCTGGCACCGACGGGGGCAGGCTGGGAGAGGGCTTTCCCACCTGCAAGGAACGCCAGCGCTCCGAGGGCTCTCTTTACGACCAGAAAAAAACCCAAACTACAACGGAGAGAAGTAAAGTGGGACATAAAATTTTATTCTGAAATGATCTCTGGCCACAACGATAAAATGTAACAAATATTCACTAGAACAGTCTTAACTCCTGTCATCAGCTGTACAATACATACAGTATCATAAAACTGGCCACTAGGATTAAAACCCACTACAACATCTTTAATGTTAAGTGGCAACAGCAGCATCTCACAGAAAATTATACATACATATATACACAGTCCACATTCAATCGTTTTTCACATGTTTTCAGTACACACAGTTGCAGCATATTACAGTCACGTGTCTAAGTCGTTGCCCAATAAAAACCCAAGCTACTGCTTAGACGTAATTGTAGCCGTTGAACTGAGGAATTACAATTTGTAGCAGAGATGTACAAGCCCCTAGAAACAATAATTCACAAATGTCGTTTTATTTAAATGCTACCATAGCATTACACTGGGCAATATTCTAATCTTTGCTGACTGGAAAAAAAGAGTTCTTTTAGTACTTATCACAAATATTATCGATGGGAAAAAAATACTAAAAAATGGAGAGCATCAAATAATGCACACCCTTTCCTAAAGATTCTAATATTGCCCGATGCTACTTATGTCTAAAGTGTTTTCAACATTCCCATGAAGTCATTTATAACTCCAAACCACCCACCAAGTTAAAAGTGGCTTAAGTGCCTTGCACCCAAATCGTAAAAATCCCTGGCCACCTTTGTCAGAGCCAGGCACATATAAAAGGAATGCACTTTGGTTCATACCAAATGCCCTGGGATTAAATCACACTATAAAACTAAAGAGTTTGAGGTAAATTTTTACAAATACAGTTGATTTCTGTCTAGTGTCACCATAACAAAAACTCATTTAAAAAAAAAAAATCAGTTTGATGTTAAAGTACAACCAATGAGGAAGGGCCATCTTTAACCCCTTAACAAGACGTACGACAAGAACAGAGCGTCCTCTCCACCCCAGCAGTGTGAATGCCTTATTGTTTCTATTAAGGCCTCGGTCATCTACAGGATGTTTTAAGACAGGTATAGCATTTAAAAATAGGTTTCATCCCTACCATCCGGTATTCAAAGGGTTAAAGAGGCCAAGCTGCATGCCCTACCACACGGCATTTGTAACAAAAGGCACATTGTTAACACCAAGGGCACAATCCATCCTCTATTGTTAATCTACACATCTTGCATCACTCTGTTGTTCCAATACACTTAAGTGGTAATGAACACCCCAGTGGTGCAAGAAACTGAGCCAAGTGAGACTGCAACCAAAGACAAGACAACACCGTGCTAGTACTACATCTGAAAATAGCTCAGACATCCCCAGACAATGGTAACATGTGAGACTAAGCACTGTTTCCAAGCCAACTTCTATCAGCCTAAACACCAGAGCCCTTAGAATAAAATCACATCAAAGCAAGAGGCAATGTCCTTCCTGCCTCCCCCCCCTCCTTTTTTTACAGGTATAAATAAGCTACAATAAAAAGCAGCTGCATCACTTAAAAACCTGGACGTAGCTGCTCCTTTAGTATAGAGGAAGTTGCACTGTATCTGGGTTAAAAAAATAGCTCTGCACACTATATTTTGGCCTTAAAGTTTCCGGTAGCATTTATGAAGGCGGATCATAAATGCCTTATTGGCATTAAGAACTGGTTACATGAAAAAGAAAATTTAGTGGTTTTAGCCCATTAATGACCCATGAACATTATGACTGTTTTCACCTTAAATTGCCACAAAAGGCAGGAACGTGTATCAATGTTCCCTTTAAAATATATTAAGGGAGGTGATTCTTCTTCCGCCCCTAATGTAAGCATCCCTATTTCTTAACTTTTGCAGGAAGAGTTAAGGTGGAAAGGAGTGGTAAAGCCAAGTAGGTGGTGGAAGAAGATTCCGGGTTACTGTAGAAAAATACACGGTATTGTATTCCCACAGTCTCAGTTAGAGACTCAGTTAATATTATATGAAAATTAGTATCTCTCTTTTCCAGACTTAGAATTTACTGACCATAACTTAGGGGATATTCATATTCCAAAAGCCACTTTTCCTTAGCTGTATTACTATATTTCATTTTTAACATGATTTCATACATGTTTACATATTGCACTTACACATATTGTATAAAGTTGTGAACATTTAACACTAAATAATTTAATTTGACAAGAGGCAGGAAACGAGGAACGATCTTTTTTTTTAAAAAAGTAAGAAAAATGGTTGATTGATGCTCTAATTTTTACAGTTATCAATCAACAAATACCATCCTCTACTCAGAAACTATTTTTGGAGCTTCTTTAGGTGTTGACTTTTTGGCAAGAAGTTAAGCGATATGTTTCCTGAGAATTCTGTCATTTTGCATTTATATCCCTCCCCCAGCCTTACATTAAATTAAAAATAAACCAACCAAACAAACAAACAAAAAAAATTAAGCTGTAAGTGGTAAAGTAATGACTATGAAGGAGAACTTAACCGGAAACTTTCTTGGCCTCTCAGGGGACCATGCTTTAAGTATTTTTCGTAATTTGTACAAGTAACGCAGTAAAACTTGTGCATATAAATGTTGCTTATAGTAAAGTTCTCGAGGTTTAATGCAATCCATTCTAGTATGTCTTGTTCTAACATCCAGAAATCCTTCTAGATTATGTTCTACTTTGTTTAAAATTCCCTTTTCATATGTTTTATACATCCAATGTAGACCACAGCCATTGTATGTGATGAAATACCGATCTTAGAT